AATGTTTTACATTATGTTTGTTTATGGATGTGCTATGTGTGAATGGTATTCAAGACGCCTTGTATAGTATGGATGAGTTGGACTGCGGTCGACTATTCGTACTGTACGGCGGGTTGTTGACGTGTCCGGGTAGGTCCGGGTCGTGACAATTTAATTGGTATCAGAGACTTAGTCCGTAAACATCATAATGAAGCTTCAAAATTCTTTTTGAAAATGAAATTGAAAACCATGAGCATAAGAAGTTTTGTACTTATAGAACTTTTGGTACTTGAGTTGCAATGTCTCTAATTGTTAAGATGGTACCCTTAACAATTGGTATGGCGGTGATTTGAGCCAAAAGATGTCTTTAAGTGCCTATCCGTCATTTGACATTTCATACGAGTCTAATGACTCATTCTAAATTTCTTTCAGAAATGGAACGTACCAGGAAAGTTACTCGACGGAACCCGACTGGCCAAGCACCGGGAGGATCCCAACGTGGCAGTCGGGGAGGATCGAGGGTGTCTAGGAGACAAGGCCGTGCAAGCCACTCGCTGACCGTGAGTGACGGTCATGTGGAAACAATAGATGAGCACTATGAGTCTGAGGAGGATTCCACCTACCAACCGGGAACCGAGCCGGTTGAGACCCCATATGATGGGGAGTACGATGATGCTAGTGACGAGAGCGATGATAATGAAGCTCTCGAACGGATTGAGGAATTGCTCCGGCAATACCACCAAGATCGCCAAAGGCGCCAGGCAAGGCGTGCTTTGAAAGTGGCTTCAAGGAGAGGAAGCCGTGTGACTCCTTGGGAGGTCATAGAATCCCGAGGATGGGGAGGTGCTGAGGTCCCTATAATAAGGATCTCAAAGTACCTCAAAGAGGCAAGAGACTTGGGATGTAAACCGTTTGATGGAACGGGGGACATCTCCGTGGCGGCCGAGTGGATCAAAAGATTCAATGAGGCGGCCCTCGACATGCAACTGCCACCCCACATGAAGTTGAGAGTAGCCACGAGGCTACTAGAAGTCATGGCGTCCACATGGTGGGATGAAACAAAGGGGAAGTACGGCGAGGCCGTCACTTGGGAGAATTTCCGACAGGAGTTCTTTAGCCAATACTACTCCGACTTCGAGGTGAACTTGAAGAGGAGGGAGTACACTAATTTGACCCAAGGAGGTGAATGTACGGTGAAGGAACTTGAGCACAAATTCAGAAAGCTTGCTGAGTTCATACCGGAGTACATTTGTGATGAAAACCGGATGGTGAACCATTTCTGGGATGCTTTGGACCTTGACATACGCGAGAGGGCAACACAATTGCCTAATATGATGTTTAGTCAAGTGGTTGAACAAGGCTTGAAGGGGGAGAAAGAGTGGGAGGAAAGAAAACGAAGGAATGCCGAAGAGGCAAAGAAAAGAAAATGGGAGAACCATGGCCCTCAAGGTCCTAATAAGAAGGGGAACCACGGGGGAGGCAGATCTTTCAAAACCCTTGCACCACCGGTAAGGGGAAATCAAGGCCCGAGCGGGCAAAGCTCTGTGTCACAAGGCTCAGGCGTGAAGAAGTGCAGCAATTGCAAGAAGAACCACTTTGGCAAGTGCCGCGATCCCCCGAGGTGTTATCAATGCAGGGAGGTCGGGCATTTGAAAGTGAGTTGCCCACAACTTGGGCGGGCCATGGGGGCCGGGCCAAGTAGTGGAACAACGGTGAGCAAGAATCGAACGGGAGCACCGAATGCGAGTGGTGGGCACGGTGTAGCAAGTGCAAGCAACGTGCCATCCGTAAATCAAGGAAGGACCTAAGCTCGGGTCTATGCTATGACGGAGGCGGATGCTCGTGCCAACCCAGACTCCGTTGCGGGTAATTCCTTAAACTCACGTTTTAATCTATTGTAAGCAATAGGAGTGTTGAACTTGTAAATTTATAGCCCCGACGAGTTTGGTCGGGTTTGGAGAGAAACAAGGGAGGAGAATCCTCGCCCTGGGCGAATGCCGCCCGACTTTGACGAAAGCCGTCCGGCTTTCGTCTTGACTTATTGAAAAAAATACCACGGCAACGAATACCGGCCGGCTTCCACCGAGAACCGACCGACTTTCGTAAATAATAAATCGGAATTATTTCTCGCAGATGAAAACCGGCCGGCTTTCACAGAAACCGGCCGGCATTTGTAATATTTAATCCGGGATGAACTGCGGCGCCAAAAGCCGCCCGGCTTCTGTGAAAGCCGCACGGCATTCGTTGGGCCTGGGGATCCCTGCACTGTTGAAACCCGGCCGGGTTTCGTAGAAACCGGCCGGCTTTGAAACCTATTTTATGAATAAAACAACGGCGACGAAAACCGGCCGGCTTTCGTGAAAGCCGCCCGGCTTTCGTGATTTATTTACGGGCAATTTTTCTCGCAGACAAAACCCGACCGGCTTTCGTAGAAACCGGCCGGCTTACGTAACGACAAGCTCCGAAGTGAGCGAAAACCGACTGGCTTTCGCGAAAAGCGGCCGGCTTTCCCCTGTAAATGCACAAGGTCGGTTTTCGAGGGTGAGAACCGAGCGGGTTGTGATGGGACGTTGAACTACTACCATCTGAACCATAGTTGGTACACTCTTTAACCATAGAAGCAAGTCTATACTTAGTAGTGTGTCTTACATCGCTTATGAATGTAGGAACACTAAAGATAAATGGGAGAGATGCAAGAATCCTTATTGATACCTGGGCGCAACGATCATTTGTGAGTGATGCATTTGCCGGGGGATTCAATGAGCCGCTTGTACCGATGACTCAAATCCTATTGGTGTCCACATCTCTAGGGGATGATATAGAAAGAAATAGCCACTATCCATCGTGTGAGGTGGAAGTGGAGGGCCAAACCTTGACGTGTGATTTTGTACCGCTGAGTATGATCGAGTTCGATGCAATCCTAGGAATGGATTGGCTTGATAAACATCATGCTAGGGTCGATATCTACACGAAGGTTCTTGAACTCGAAAGCGGTGAAGGGTTGACCTTACGCTTTGAGGGAGATAGAGGCAAATCAAACAGTTGTATCATATCCGCCGTGAGAGCGAGGAATATGATGAGAAAGGGATGTCACGCATATCTAGCATACGTGGTGGATAAAACCAAAGAAGAGATAGACATCAACGATATGAGAGTAGTGTGCAAGTATCCGGATGTCTTCCCAAAAGACTTGCCGGGACTTCCACCCGATAGGGAGATTGAGTTCGTGATCGAGGTTGAGCCCGGCACCAAACCAATCTCTATACCGCCATACAGAATGGCACCCACAGAACTTAACGAGTTGAAGACCCAATTGCAAGAGATTTTGGATAACGGTTTTATAAGGTTGAGCCACTCCCCATGGGGAGCACCGGTCCTTTTCGTGAAAAAGAAGGATGAGACACTTCGAATGTGCATTGATTACCGTCAACTGAACAAGGTCACGATCAAGAATAGGTATCTTTTACCTAGGATTGATGACTTGTTTGATCAGCTCCGAGGAGCAACGATGTTTTCGAAGATCGACTTGAGGTCGGGGTACCATCAACTGAAGATAAAGGAGGATGATATACTGAAGAGTGCTTTTCGCACGAGGTATGGTCATTTCGAGTTCCTATTCATGTCGTTTGGGCTAACAAACGCCCCGGCAGCATTTATGGACTTGATGAACTGAGTATTTCATAAATACTTGGACCGGTTTGTGATTATATTCATAGATGATATCTTAATTTACTCAAAGATTGAAGAAGAGCATGAGGAGCACTTGACGCTTGTTCTTGAGACACTACGGGAGAAGCAACTCTATGCCAAGTTTTCCAAATGTGAATTTTGGCTAAGGGAGATTGGTTTTCTCGGGCATGTGGTTTCGGGATCAGGGATTGCCGTAGATAACAAGAAGATTGAGGCCATTACTGAATGGGAGAGGCCAAAGAACGTCAAGGAAATTCGTAGCTTCCTTGGATTGGCAGGGTACTACCGAAAATTCGTGGAGAAGTTCTCAGTTTTGGCATCGCCATTGATAAAGCTCACTCGAAAAGGGGCCAAGTTTGTATGGGATGACCGATGTGAGAAGGGATTCCTTGAACTGAAGAAGAGATTGACCGAGGCACCGGTACTCGCATTACCCAAACAGGGTATGGGGTACGATGTCTACAGCGACGCGAGCATCCAAGGGCTTGGATGTGTCATGATGCAGAATGGGAGGGTGATTGCCTATGTTTCACGACAGTTGAAGAAGCATGAGGTAAATTATCCTACTCATGACTTAGAGCTGGGGGCAGTGGTATTTGCATTGAAGATTTGGAGACATTATCTCTACGGGGAAACATGTCATATATACACCGACCACAAAAGCCTGAAATACATGTTTACTGAGAAAGAGTTAAACATGAGACAGAGACGGTGGATGGAGTTGATAAAAGACTACCATCTAGTTATCGAGTACCACCCCGGTAAAGCCAACGTGGTAGCGGATGCCTTGAGCCGAAAGAATTCATCTGGGGCATTGTTGACTAGTTTGAGGGCATTTCAAGTAGAACTTGAAGGTTGCTACCGGCGCCCGTTGCTCAGGGACATTCAGGGGAGAAGACGTGGTTCGTGCTTCTTCTGTTTCCTATTTTCAAAACAATTATAATAATGCTCATGGATATTATTTTGGATTAATATTTGGGGGCTTGTATGCCCATGTTTGCCAAAGTGTGGCTAAGACACTTTTATTAAATGCTTCCGCTGTTTTAAATGAATGTTTTACATTATGTTTGTTTATGGATGTACTATGTGTGAATGGTATTCAAGACGCCTTGTATAGTATGGATGAGTTGGACTGCGGTCGACTATTCGTACTGTACGGCAGATTGTTCACGTGTCCGGGTAGGTCCGGGTCGTGACATAGTGTGTGTACTGACTAGTGAGTAAGTGTAGTATTGTCATATATTAAGGTTTTTAGCTCTTTCAGTTAGAAACTATTCTATAATACTCCCTCCGTCCCTAATTGAATTGCAAACTTTGACCAGCACAAGGATTAAGAAATGACAATAAATGATGCTTGCATTTTACACTTTTGCCCATCTTTCTAAAAGTAGATGCCTTTAAATTAATGGAGAAAAAGTAAAAGTAAGGGTAAATTTGTCACTTTATTGTTATTTACATACCTAAAATAGAAAGTGGAAAACCATTTTGGGACAACCAAAAATGGAAATTTTTCAATTCAAATTGGTACGGAGTTAGTATTACAATACAACACAAGCAGAGAAAGTTGAAGAGTGATTTCATGCAACAAATTCTGTCATTTTATGGTCTTGCTTACCACCCCCTCCCTCCACACTTCCATGGACATTCTTGTATGTATATCTCTTAGCAAAAAACATATACAAGCACATATCCAATGTAGTCATTGCTGTGATTAGCCAATAGAATTTGTCTATTCGGCTATGGTTCATATCTCTTCCAAACCAACTACCACCTCCCCTCTCCGTCACACGATCAACGACTGCTATCAAAAAGCTGCTCAAGAAGCTCCCAACTCCAAGCACACTAAGGTAAAATGCTAGGCCCATACTCCTCATAGAATCAGGAACCTGGTGGTAGAAAAACTCTTGTAAACCGACAAGGCTAAAACCGTCACCTATTGAAAGAATCACGTACTGAGGTGTTAACCAGAAGACACTCATTGAGGAATGTGTTCGAAGACTTCTTATCCTTATGGACTCAACCAAGGAGGCTATCCCCATGCCCACGATGTTAAGAACCAAACCGATCCCTACCCTTTGGAGAATGGTAATTCCTCTTTCATTCCCTGTTTTCTTTCTTAGTATGGGTACTAGGACCTTCTCGTATGCGATGACCGATAATAACAAACCTACGGCTGATAAGGCATAAATGCTTGCTGGGGGGATCTCTAAGTGACCTATGTGTCGATTCATTGCGGTGCTTTGCTTGACGAAGAAGGTTGAGCCAAAAGACATGCAGACTCCCAACATTAGGGAAGACAACCAAATGGGAATCATGTTGAGTACGAGTTTGGTTTCTTCAACCTGTGTGACTGTTGCCAGTCTCCATGGATTCTTTTTCCTAGCTTCTACATCTTTTGGGTCGTTACAGGCTTCTACTATTGCAGCTTTGTCAAGAAACCTGCATTTTAATAGTAATTGTTTACTTTAAGTAGGGTGGACTCATCATAAAACCCAAAGAGAGAGGTAAGTAGGAACATTAGTAAAGTGATTGAGATATAGGTTAATTATATCCATTAATTCTTTTCCTCCACTATGTACTTCAACTCTATTTAAATTGCAAGTTATGAAGAGGTTTGACGGAGATGGCTTTGCAAATCTTGACATTTCCGTGATTTTATAAAAATTGAAAGATTAACATAATAATCTATAATCTCCGTTTAATCACCTTTCATTTGTGTTTAGAAGATTCAACTTATCTAGATACAGATTAAGCCCTCATCCCCTTCGAAATCATTTTTTATACTAAGAGTTCATTTGCTAGCTAAAATGTCCATTTGTGTTGAAATCAATGTTAACAGTTACTATATGGTTTTATTTTCATAAAATTCACCTTAATAATCCTCACAGAAGGGGTCCTTAACCAATGAGTAATTATTAAAAAAAAAATATGAGATCGACTCTCTAACTTTATCTTAACTAGTTAATGTTTAAACATACAACATGAAAGTTATACTCCTTCCGTCCCGAATTAATCGTCTGGTTTTGACCTTCACACAGATTAAGAAAATGAAGTTGACTTTACACTGTAGTGACACTGTTTGGCACTGTAGCGACATTGTTTGGCACTGTAGCAACACCGTTTTACACTGTTTGACACTGTTTTGTATAGATTTGTTTACCAAATAAGGAAAGTTTCAAAGTAGGACAATTATTTCGGGACGGACCGAAAAGGAAAGCAGGACAATTATTTCGAGACAGAGGGAGTATGTTTTTATGATCATGAAAGTTATATGTTGTTGGGCTTGTTAATATTATTTAAATTTGTTAAAATTATAATGACACTCAACCAAGACTAACTCAAACTGTGTATCTGGCTTGGGTATGGTATATCTTAACATGCCCTGTCAAATGGTACTTCATTAGAGAAAGCAAACTTTCAAATTGCTGAAGTTTTAGGATCGAATTACTCGTTAGAGCTTAATTGACTCTAACGGTCTAATATATTTTTAGGCTTAGAGTTACATCAAAGTATGAGGGCATGCCACAATACAGAGCCTGTTGTGAAGGGGTCTATCCAAGTCTTATATGTTATTGGGTTGGCTAGACTTATTTGAACTTAATCTATGCAACTATCATTCAAGATATATTTAAGGTAGCCATGATTTTCAAGGTCTATTGTTTTCTTTACTTACCTGAGGCTATTTGTGTGAGAGAGCAGCCTGACTTTGGGATTCTTTGATTTCTCAATTTCATACAGCAGTTGGGGGGTCAAAGGATGAACCAATTTCCTCTTTGCAATAGCCGCAACTATGACCTGAAACAAAGGTACTAAAGGACTGCCAACTGAAACTCTATATCTGAAAAATGGCCTGCCCAAGTAAAACACCAGTGTTGATATCCCCATAGTGGCAGTAAGAATCATTGCAGCAGCTCCCCAACTAACATAGTCCTCAACATAAGATATTAGTGTCACTCCAAGCAACAGCCCACAACAAAGTGACACATTCCACCAGTTAAAAAATGACATCTTTTGTTTCCTTTCTTTCGGGTGGTCATCATCGAACTGGTCGGCTCCAAAGCTTTCTAGGCATGGTTTGAACCCTCCGGTCGCTAGAGATATTAGATAGATTGCGAGGTAGAACACAACCTGGTGAACTCTTCTTGGTGGCACGCCGCCTCCGCAGTGTGGCACATCACATGCCTTGAGCTTGGGGATGAATTGTGACATTGTGAGAAGACACAGTCCCTGAAATATTTTAACACATACTGGTTACAAGGAAGTCATTCTATTCCATTTAGTTTGCGGTGTCCTTAAGATTTAGGTTTGAGATCTTAATATAGGACTTAATTCCTTCACGTGTATCTGGTGTGAGAATTCAACACTCATCCTCACGTCAGACACTTCGTAAGATACTTGTTGATGGATCGTAATTCAACACTCATCCTCACGTCAGACACTTCGTAAGATACTTGTTGATGGATCGTACCGTCATTAGTTTTTTTCATCAATTTGTTAGTGTCATTTTTTTGGAGAGAACACCTACCATAAGGTACAAGAAAGAAGAAAATACGATCATGGAGAAGCGGCCGGTATAGGAATCAGCAAGGAAACCTCCCACCAATGGCATTATGGTAGTGACGCCCGTCCAGTAATTTGAATTCTTAGCAGCTGTTTTCAGGTCATTGTGCATTACTTTGGTTAGGTAAGTTATGAGGTTCGTTGCTATGCCAAAGAAGCTAAGTCGTTCTGCAAACTCGATTACTTCATCCAGGCACCCATGGGAAAGAGCATGAAAAAAGAAAAGAGATCAATTAAATTGTTATACATGGAATAGGGAAAAGGGAGAATTGACAAAATTTATGCTTGGTCGGAGGAATTGACATTTGTCAATTTATCTCCGTTTATTAGTTGTATACATGAAATTACGATCTGATTAGTTAAGTGAGATGTTTTCTTTTGAAATGAAATTTGTTGATCCGGTCTGAACTGATATGTGTATTTTTATAAACATGGTCCCTAGCAAAAGGGCGGTCCCCAAAGTTACCAATTAGTCCCCAGTCACAATTCGTTGCGAATCTTTTGTTTGCAATTATTCCAAAAAAAGCTGGAATCTCCCACCTCAGAAGCCTCTCACCCCGACCCGACAGGATGGTGGGGAGGTTAGTCACGGTAACTCAGTCAGCAGAATGGTAGTATGCTCGAATCTTTTGTTTGTAAAATATAGTGAATAGACTATCATTGTTGTAGGGAAAAGTGCATGTTGAGCTGTATGATTTTGGGCGTCTGAACCTTCTTTTTTGGGCAAATAAGTTTCACATTAGCCAATTTTTTCACTCAACGCATAATTTTTGAATTCGTGCGCTAGAGACAATTATTTTATTTAATAATAACAAAAGGTAAGTTTTGAGTTACTGTAGAAAATAATTTTACTTACTTTTCAAATCACTTTTTCTTTATTTTATTAATAAAAAATATTTTAATTTTCCCCCCATAAATCAGCCAATCTAATCACTTAAACCTGAATTTTATAAATTTCAACAAATCAATCATTTTAATCACTTTCACTGTTATCAAACGAGGTCATAATCGGACAAAGCTAAGAGCAGATAACATTTCGTATTTTCAAAACTCAATTTCTTAGTTCTAACGCACATATTTCAAGGGTGTAATAGTGGAAGCATTTGGTAAATAAATAATTATTTAAAGGGAAAATTTTCGAAATAGGAGTAAAAAAGTTTGAAACTTTCGAAATAGGACTGTCATGTTTTTATTCCCAAAATAGGAGTAATTACTGTCAAGTTTGGAAAATACAGTCATATTTAAAGTCTGGTACTGACAAAACATAACATTAATTAATCTAATTTTAGGAATAAAATATTATAGTCCTATTTTAAAATATACAAAATTTTTAGTCTCATTTTGAATAATTTCCTTTATTTAAACTCTTCTCTACTGCCGACGGCTCACAATCTAGATGAGCAATTACAATTACTTTATACCCATATCTTAATAATAAATGCGTGGAGAAATTAAAGATCCATCTACTATTCCACCAAGAACAAGTACACGAATTAATAGGTAATGAGTCTTTGTATGACCGTATGAATTGAATGACAACTGCCAAACTGAAATACGGAGTAGTACTTCTTGCTTATCCATATACGTAATTATTATATTTATATATAATCCTTTGTCTCACTATTATTGTCTTATTTTTTCTTTTTCATTCATTTGACTAAATTTGTATCCTAAGATATTTGGTGATATTTACGTGATTCTATTTCATTCTTATTGTTTTTACTTTATCAATTCAATATCAACCACACAACTTTATTTTTCTCAAAGATTACACCACTCTTCTTTGTCACAATCTAAACTTACCCGAGGTAGTATTATACTTCGTAGTATACTCCGTATTAACATGACAATACTAGTGTAATTATTGAGGTTAATTATTTCTAAAAAAGACATTAATTACTTGTTTAATGGAATATCAAACATAACCCTCTTATTTTGGAATTCACATTTTTACTATTATTAACTAGAGTAATTTCTTGTAATTATTGTCATTAAGAATGCATTAGTGTTAATTAACTCGCGTTAATTATTGTTAAGCTCAAATAAAAGAATCTTGATTACATCGATGATTAAATAGTTCAAATCTATCTGAAACTTATACTAATAGTTAATTTAAGAAGAAATGGGAGTTTTTTTTGGGGAAAAAGAAATGGAAGTTATAAAGGGAATTTAAGTAATAATTAAATAAAATGAGGATCTAAGTGATGGAGTCGTTTTGAGCAAAGTTTTGAAGCAAATGATCGAATTAAAGTAGCCAAAGTACTATAACAATATATATTTCAGTAATTAGAGTTTTATTAATGAATATATATATATATATATATATATATATATATATATATATATATATATATATATGATTTATAAATGCATGAAAGAAAAGTAAATGTTATGAAAAAAGCAGAGGTAGCTTAGCTTATTGCATACTTATGATGAAGAAGGAAGCTTTCCAGACACCAGTTGAAGCTCTGAGAGGAACTTCACCTCTGTGATCCACTGAGGAATCATAAACCCTCTTCTGGGTTTCTTCTCCATCTCCTTCTTCGCCATTCATCTCTCCCCTTTTCATACTTTTAGACTTTGCTAAAGTCGGTTTTTAATTTATTTTGCTTCCACCAGGCCAGTCTTTATTGTTATTATTGTATAAATAAAATAATAACTTCAGCAATTCAGCTACTCATCAATCGATAAAAACCAGAGATATTAATACTACGAGATTTGTGTGTTATTGCCACCAAACTAAAGCTTCTAGATGTGGTTGATCACGCAAAGACTCTCGGCCTCTACAAAGCACAATTTGTGTATAGTAATTGATCATGTAAAACTCAGTGAGTAAGAATAAAAATGTTTTCAAATTTCAAAACAGGAGTTTGATGTATGTTTACCAAACCATATCAGATCAGACACCATTTAAACATACCACGTCAGACCTCGATCGTTGTAATTACATAAAGACTAGACATATATTAGATCAGATCAGATCAAATCATCTCAAAAAAAATCACTCCAAATAAAAACATGCTTGCTAAACTTGGCAAATACTTACATGCGGGTAAAGTGTGATTATTCCAAAACTTGAAATTGACAAACACATTTACTCATATTTAAAACAGTTTCTAATTTTCATATTTTGACTGTCGAAACAACAATTTTGATTTCTAGAATAAAACAATTTTGTGTAGTTTATACCAAGTACCGCGTACTTCGTATTACTTTTCATTTTGCACAAATCTTATCCATGAAATTATCATTTTGTATCCCATGTAGAAAACATAATTGGCAAAAAAGTATGATGGGAGGAAATAATTGAAGTCATTACATGCATTTTTTTTAGTATACTATGCTAGTAAATCATGAATTATGTGCCTGTTCTCTCCCTACATTTTCACCTAACATTTTTTTGAAAGAAAATAACTTATACTTTCTCCGTTCCATAAAAGTTGCAACATTGGAATTTCTGCACTATTCACACACCTTTCTTTGACTACAATTTTCTAATAATATATATAATAAAAATATTATGTATAAAATATTAATAAATTTGAATTAATCTAAATTTCAAATATATTAACTTTTTTTAATGTTTACTAATACGTAAATAAATATAATTATAGTCAAAGTTGCGCGTTGGTACACGTGAAAGTTAAATTGTTGCAACTTTTATGAAACAGAGGATATATAGTATTAAAATCAAACGATCCAAAGTAACAATCGTATCCCAAATCCTAAATCTCCATCTATCCAACCAAAAGTTCATCGGCCCCCTCACGTCATGATCAGGCATAGAATAGTCCACCCCAAGAAGAGCGAGACTAATCGTTGAAACTGTGAGAGTAAAGAGGCTATGAACGGCTGAATCAGCCCGATTGCCTCCAATCAGAAATCTAACACCTAATAAAGCAAACCAATACCAACTTACCCCCTTATTGTATGTAATAGAACTAACAAAATAGAAATAGTAAAAGAATCTCGATTGCAAATAACAAACTTGAAAAAGTAGGACAATCTTCCAAGACCTAGCCGTGCAGTACCTCCATGGCGGCGGTTCAGATATCATTATTTATTAGTGTTTGAATTACATTAAGAAATATTTTCTTTAGGACAATTTCAATTTCAGATTATCAAACCAAACTTCCATAGTTATAAAATACATGTAGAACGATGATAAGTACATTTTCAGCAAAATATGAGATAAGTCATAATTGTGTATTGTCTTGAATCTAATGTCTATTTCTAGTCCTGATGGTAACGTCACACATTTTCGATAAAGTAAATAAATTTATTAGTAAATAGACAATAAATCTTTAAAAGAAGGGATAATTATTTCGATATGAAAATTGTAATTGAAAATCTTATTGATATGAAACATCTAAAAGAGAGTGAAGATCTCCATACAAGAACGAATTAAGGAGTATTTAATATAATTGCAAAGGGAAAACTGTCAATTTTGTTCTCGTACTATAGTGAAAAAGTCAATTAGGTTCACGTACTTTTAAAAAAATCAACCAAATCCCAGAACTGTGCGAAAACGTTCAATTGAGTCCATTTGCAGGTCATCTGTCATGTCAACAGGTGACCCACCGAAGTGGCGCACACGTGGCGGTCCACGTTCATGCCACGTCATTAACAAATAGCTAACTGGGCTTCCACGTGTGCGCCACGTCAGCAAAGTCGCTACTGATTGGGCTGTCATATGTATGCCACGTCGGCAAGTGACCTGCTGACATGACAAGTAATATGCAAATTAAAGGACCCAATTGAACGTTTTTACAAAGTTTAGGAATTTGATTGATTTTTTTTAAGTACGAGAAGTTAATTGACTTTTTCGTGATAGTACGAGGAATAAATTGACAGTTTTCCCTGAGACCAGATGTAAACAACATTTAGTGTATTATACTATCGTTAATGTTATTCTTATTCATATTAGCTGTCACATAATAAGAGAACGTTAACAAAATGTCATACGCACATAAAGGGGTTTATATTGTATAGTACCCGCACGGGTAACTCAGTTCGTCGAGTGATGGGAAAATTGGATCAAGTGACCAACGTTCGAAACCCGCAACGGCCGTGTGGAGGTTACAGAACCTGAAATAAGGCTGGATCTCTGATGCGCACGTGTATAATTAAGGCCTACCGCCGCTGTGTTGACTGAGTCACCATGATTAACCTCCCCATCATCCTGTCGGGGTGGGGCTCTTTGGGTGGCAGATTCCACCTTTTTGACGGAGTATGTATTCTATCGCAAATTATACCGTGGGATCGGCCCACCTTCCGGATGGTGTGCCGATCCCACTTTTAGGAAAGTTACGTTGCTTTCCTTTTCCCACTTCCTTTGTCTCCAACTTTATTATTTCCTTTTCCTTTGCTTTTTTTTCAATTCTTTTCTTTTTCCATCAAATTAAAATACTAAAAATTTAATTGCAATCCTACTTTCTTTATCTTCATCTTAAATTATAATTGAATCTATTTTTTATTCTTTATCAATACATAATAATTCATCTAAAAAAATTCTTTATCTTCATGTTCATATATTTCTTGATGGATAGTGTACCCGGGGGTAGCTTATCCGAGGGGTTATTGCGGAAAATAACTAGAGAGAAGTCAGAGCAAATAAGTAAGAGAGAGTGTATATTCGATATGCATTAAACGTGGTTTACAATGGGGGAAAGGGGTGCTATTTATAGTAGTAATAAATGCTAGATAAGGACACGTGTCAGTTTTCTGGTGGTCGAGGGGTCACCTCGACCGGGGTGGCACTGGCACTCGCATGTGGCCGCATTAAATGCGGTGGTTGGATGTGACGTTTGTACTTGGTACGGTGATCCAGGCGCATGTGAAGAGGATATTCTGTCGAGGTGGATGCTTTCGGCTGAAGGGTGCTGGGCCGAAGGCTCTTCTAACCGAGGGCTCCTACCCGCCGAGGGCTGCAGGTGCCGAAGGCTTGGTTTTCAAGCCTTGTTCTCCTGTGATGCCTCTTCTAACCGAGGGCTCCTACCTGCCGAGGGCTGCAGGTGCCGAAGGCTTGGTTTTCAAGCCTTGTTCTCCCGTGATGCCTCTTCTAACCGAGGGCTCCTACCTGCCGAGGGCTGCAATTGCCGAAGGCTTGGTTTTCAAGCCTTGTTCTCCTGTGATGTTTCTGAGCTCGATTCTGTCACTGGTAGCCTTCGGCCATAGGGCCGAAGGCACCCCTTTGCGTATTGTGGGCTGATCAGAGCTCCATTTTGCTGGGCTTGGCCCGTTTGGGCCTGTTGGGCCTGATTGTAGTAGAGGAAGTATGTGGGTCGGGGGTCCCTGGGCCATATACTCCATCAGGAGTCCCCCACTCCTTTTGTCGAAAGGTACTTGAGGGAAAAGGAGTAGCTGTGGTGATTTCCCCGAAGGCTTCCCTGTTCTGTTGGGTGCCTCATTTTCTCAATTCCCCCATATGTCGAGGGCTGAGAGCTTCCTGAAGGGAGTGTAAGTGTGTTGCTCGTATGTGTTTCTTTTTTGTAGTTTGTAAAGTAATGAGAGATCTGCATTTGTGTGCTTTGCCGAGGGCATTTGTTGACTGAAGGCTTTGTGTGGCTGAAGGCATCATGTGGCCGAAGGCATCATGTGGCCGGAGGCATCATGTGGCCGAAGGCATTGTGTGGCCGGAGGCATCATGTGGCCAAAGGCATTGTGTGGCCGGAGGCATTCTGTAAGCCGAAAGCATCATGTCGATGGGAGTAGATTGCCGTTGTGATCTTGCCTTAGCTTGCTGTAGCTGAGAAATAGAAAATTTTTAACATTTGCGTGTTTTGCCGAGGGGAGTCCCCCAGTCCCCCACTCCTTTTGCCGAGAGTTTCTCGAGGGAAACAGGAGTAGAGTGATGCATGCCTTCAACAGGATCCGCCGAGGGGTGACGCCTTTTGTTCCACAATGGGGAGATGCCTCGTTAAAAACCTCATTAGGAAAAAACCCTGTGGGAAAAAAATCCTAATGAGGGAAAAAGAGTACACCGGATGCCCCCAGAATGAAGCAAAAGGAATGCACCCTTCGGCCTAGATTTTTGAGCGGTGGTTGTGTCCGTCTGCTGAGGGGATATCGAAGACCAGCCTTAGATCCTGCATGAAAAAGCTGAGGAGCTTGTAAGGACCCCCCGTTATCAAATAAAGGTGACGGAGGGGTGCAAGGCCGGGTGGGCCTGTGTGAGAGCCCCTGGCATCAAATACAGATGCCGGAGGGATGGAGACCGAGGGGCCTGTGTGATTGCCCCCCGACATCAAATAAATATGCCGGAGGGATGAAGGCCGAGGGCCTGTATGATAGCCCCTGGCATCAAATAAAGATGCCGAAGGAATGAAAGCTAGGCCGAGGGGCCTGTATGACAGCCCCTGGCATCAAATAAAGATGTCGGAGGGATGAAGGCCGAAGGACCTGTGTGATTGCCCCCGACATTAAATAAAGATGCCGGAGGGAGGAAGGCCGAGGGTCTATATGATAGCCCCTGGCATCAAATAAAGATGCCAGAGGGATGAAGGCTAGGCCGAGGGGCCTGTATGATAGCCCCCGGCATTAAATAAGGATGCCGGAGGGATGCAGGCTGAGGGCCTATATGATAGCCCCTAGCATCAAATAAAGATGCCGGAGGGATGAAGGCCGAGTGACCTGTATGATTGCCCCCGGACATCAAATAAAGATGTCGGAGGGATGAAGGCCGAGGGCCTGTATGATCGCCCCTGGCATCAAATAAAGATGCCGGAGGGATGAAGGCTGAGGGCCTGTATGATAGCCCCTAGAATCAAATAAAGATGTCGGAGGGATGAAGGCCGAGGGCCTGTATGATCGCCCCTGGCATCAAATAAAGATGCCGGAGGGATGAAGGCCGAGGGCCTGTATGATAGCCCCTAGAATCAAATAAAGATGCCGGAGGGATGAAGGCCGAGGGCCTGTATGATCGCCCCTGGTATCAAATAAAGATGCCGGAGGGATGAAGGCTGAGGGCCTGTATGATAGCCCCTAGAATCAAATAAAGATGCTGGAGGGATGAAGGTCGAGGGACCTGTATGATTGCCCCCGGACATCAAATAAAGATGTCGGAGGGATGAAGGTCGAGGGCCTGTATGATCGCCCCTGGCATCAAATAAAGATGCCGGAGGGATGAAGGCTGAGGGCCTGTATGATAGCCCCTAGAATCAAATAAAGATGCCGGAGGGATGAAGGCCGAGGGACTGGATGATTGCCCCCGGACATCAAATAAAGATGTCGGAGGGATGAAGGCTAGGCCGAGGGGCCTGTATGATAGCCCCCGACATCAAATAAGGATGCCAGAGGGATGAAGGCTGAGGGCCTA